CGGCCAGTGAGTCTTTGAACTTCCTTAACCGTTTTGGGTGACTGCATTTCAATCAAGGCTTTGATCTTTTCAGGGTTAGCTTCAATGCCCCAATGACTGACCATGAAACCCAAGAACTTCCCAGATCCTACGCCGAAGGCGCACTTCTCCAGGTTGAGCTTCATTTGGTACTTCCGTAGGGTGGCGAAGGTCTCTCATAGGTCGGTCAGATGGTCAGCGGAGAGTTTGCTCTTGACTAGCATATTATCGACATATACTTCTATGTTCCGACCGATCTGATGATAGAAAACGGCGTTGACCAACCGTTAGTAGGTGGCCCCAGCATTTTTCAGTCCAAATGGCATCACTTGGTAATGGTAGGTGCCTCGGTCGGTAATGAAGAAGATGTGTTCCCGATCAGATGGATGCATCAGAATTTGGTTATACCCAGAGAAGGCATCCATGAAGCTGAGCATTTGGTGACCGGCCGTGGCATCGACCAGCAGATCTATGCGGGGAAGAGGATAGCTGTCTTTGGGGCAAGCTCGATTGAGTAGTCGATACAAAGTTGCCATTTACCATTGTTCTTGTGAACCAGGACCACGTTTGACAACTATCTAAGATAGTCCACGTTCTTGATGAATTGGCCCTCAAGGAGCTTGTCAACCTCTACGGCAATAAGAGTATTGCGCTCAAGATGAAAGATGCGCTACTTCTGGCGGTAAGGTCAGAAATGGGGTTCAATGCTGAGGCGATGGGTTATGAAAGAGGGGTCAATACCCGGCATGTCTGAATGGGTCCAGGCAAAGACATCATTGTGCTCGGTCAGGAGGGCAGTAAGGTCGGCCTTTGCTTGGGGGGATAGTTGGCTGCCGATTTTGGCAGTTTTCGTTGGGTTGGTGAGGTCGATGGGAACCTCTACGAGTTCCTCCACAGGTTCTCCTCTGACCAGCTTGTCCTCATCTCAGACGTCAAGTCTTTCAATGATCATAGCTTCCTTCAGCTTGACTTCTTTTAGTGAGGCAACATAGCATTCCCTGGCCATGGTCTGCTCTCCCCTTACAGTCCCGACCCCCAGATCGGTGGAAAACTTAACGGTAAGGTGATAAGTTGATGTGATAGCTTGGAAGGCATTTAGGGCAGTGCGGCCAAGGATGATATTCTAGGTGGATGGACAGTCGACAACAAAGAAAGTGAGCAACTTTGTAGTCTGTCGTGGGTACTCGCCGATTGTAATGGGAAGATCAATGGAGCCGATGGAGGTGACCCGGTCGCTAGTGAAACCGACCAAAGGGGTTTGGAGAGGAGACAGACTTTCCTCCCCAATTTTGAGCTGGCGAAAGCAGTTGAGAAAGACGATGTCTGAAGAACTACCGTTGTCGATGAGAACTCGTCTGACCTTGTAGTTGGAGAGGAGGGCAAAAATGACGAGAGGGTCATCATGAGGGTAGCGGATGCCTATACAGTCGGCGTCCGTGAAGGTGATAGGCTCGGTCCACTGCTTGGGCTGTTTGGAGGGTCGATCGACCGTGGCAACTGCTTTGTCTGAGCCCTGCCTTATCTTCTTGAGTTCTGTCCTCTGAGCCGAGCGAGATGGTCCCCCGCAAGCAAGGCCACCTGAAATGACTCTGATCTCTCCAACAGGTGAAGGGGGGTTGCCTGGCGGCCGAGGTTGCTGTGGAGGGCGATCATGGCCTTGGTTAGATTGGGCTGGCTGCCGGGGGCAAGGGTGCGCCGGCGGTTGTTTCTGAAGGGCTCAGTTCTTTGCCTCTGCTAAGGGCGGGTGTTCGTGAACCGGCTAAGACGTCCCTGGCGTATGAGGGTCTCGACCTGATCTTTGAGGTTAACGCACTCGTCGGTGTTATGGCCATGGTCCTGGTGGAAGCGGCAATATTTGGACTGGTCTTTCCGATTGGAAGGGGTTCGTGACGGTTAAGGCCATTTAAGGGGGTAGTCCCACTGGATCTGATTGAGGACTTGTTCCATGGGGGAGTTAAGAGGCGTGTACCGCTCGAACCGACCGGGCGGTCGGGCTGGTGCCGACCGGTTAGCTCGGGGGGCCGGTCGGTATAGTGTGGTGTTTGGCTATTATACTGGGTGTTTCTGGATTCTGAGTCTTTTCTCTTTTCTCTGGGGGCCGGGTTTTTGGTTATGGGATCTTGTCGGGCAGCTAGGGAATCCTCAGCATTCATGTATTTTTGGGCTTTGGAGAGTAGGGTTGCCATGGAGGTCGGAGGGTTTTTAGAGAGGGAGAACAGGAAGTCGGACAACAGCAGACCGGCCATGAAAGCAGTGAGGATGACCTTGTCATCATTTTTCGTTACTTGCAGGGCCTCGATATTGAAGCGGGTAACAAAACTACGTAGCGACTCCTCCTTGGTCTGTCGAATGTTGAGGAGTTGGGTTGCGGGGCGTTGCTGGCACTGGGCTCCAATAAAATGGCTGAGGAAAGAGTCACTGAGATGCTGGAAAGTGGAGACAGAGTCTGCTGGTAACTGGCTAAACCACAGCCGAGCTGACCCCTTTAGTGTCACGGGGAAAGCTCAACACATGATCTCGTCAGGGAATGCATGGAGGATCATGAGGGTTCTGTAGGTCTCCAGATGGTCGACTGGGTCCGTCGTACCGTCAAAAGAGTCGATGGTGGGCATCTTGAACTTAGGGGGTAGAGGTTTGTCGCGGGTGGAGGCAACAAATGGTGAGTTTGCTGTGGTAGATGGTTTATGCTGGATGTTCTGCATGACCCTTTAGAGTTGGAGCTTCATGGCTCGGAGTTCCACGTCCCAGAGAGGGATGTGGTCACCTCCGGAGGGCAACGGGGGCTGGACGCTGCTAGCCTCTCCTTCAAGGATTGGTGGCGGGATCGATGGTTATGGGCCCCGGGGTGGTAGGTTTATACCTGGAGGGAGGGGGTTGCAAGCCTTCTTTGTTGGGCGGATTAGGCTACGGAATAGTATGGCTTGGGGCTTGTTCGTAGTTGGAAGGAATATCGGGAGGTGGTGGAGGGGACATAGGAAGGTTTGTTTGGAGTAGGGCATTGATCAGGGCTTTGTTTTGCTCGGCCATGCAGTTAATACTGTTGGTAAACTCGATGAAATATTGTGGTGGGTTGTTTGGATTGGGGGGGTCGGCGTGGTGGTTGGCAACATTTTGGTGAGAAGCCATGGATCTAGTCATGACCATACACTTCGATGGGTAACGAGAAAGGGTTATTGGAACGAGATCTCCGGCGACAGTGAACACAACTGGCCCGAGGAGCAAAGCTTTCCCACAGACGGCGCCAACTGATGATACAGTTACTACACAACGGGTCCTAGGTGGAATGGGTCGGATTAATCCATGCTTCTTCAACCGGTAACTGAGTGTTCAAGCCCACCAGAGAACCTGCACACAAGTTCAACAGGGAAACGGGGAGTCCCCCAGCGAACCCTCCGACGAGCAACTTAGAGAGAGAGAAGTGTAATGTAAAGATATGAATTAGAGATAGAAAAACTTAACCTTCTTCTTGTCTTGAACGTCTGCTTATATCCTCTGGTAATCATTTCGCCGTCCCTTCCGACTTGCCACCTTGGCCGAAAGTCTATGCTGTAGCTTACCTTGTTCAGTGTGAGGGGGTGCTGTTCCGACGGAGAGGTGTTGTCGTAATAAATGCTGTGATGGATTGTATTAATGGCGATGTGCAGTCGCAATAACTTTGCAGATCTTTGTCTACTGATGTGGCTTGTCCTTTACCTGCCACTTGTTTGAATATCATTTACCTTGCTTGTTTCCACTTTTTAAAAAGCACTTTTCAAAAAATTCTACTTTCTTATTTTTCGTGTTTTTTTTGTTTTTACTAAATTTTTTTAATATTTTAAGCAATTTTTTTACTTTTTAGACATACCTAACATAAATACACCTAAAAAGTAAAAAAATTGTAAAAATTTTTTTTTAAAAATTCACTAAATACCAAAAATACAAAAAAAAAAAATACAAGAATTCAGTACATTTTTTGTATTTTTATGTATTTATTAATTTTTTAAAATATTTTTTTACAAATTTTTTACTTTTTAGATACATCTAAGTAAGGTGCATCTAAAAAAGTAAAAAAAAAATTAAAATTTAAAAAATATTCACTAAAAACAAAAAAATACGAAAACTAAAAAAGTCAATTTTCAAAAAACTTAATCCAGAAAACTCAAACCAAACACACTGATTGGTTCTTCGTGCCATGTTGGCTTCCAGCTGTTTAGGATCTTATCAGTTGAGTTATGTGATGGGCTTAGGTTGTTCATAGTGGGCTATGACCTTTGTGGGCCTAACCACGTCAGAAGTCAAAAAAAAGCTAGAAGAAAATTCAATTTTCACGGCACAATGAAATTTTAAAACAAATTTGATTTTTTATTTCCATTTTTTGTTAGGAACAATTTGAATAGTGAGATTGGGATTTCAAACGATAAAGTTGTTTCACTCTTTTAACTTAGACAACAAATTTTTTGTTGTTTCCGTTAAAATTAACAGTGAAATTTTATGTTGCTAATGTTATCTTTTAATTGTTTTGATAAATTTCTCATTTAAATATTTTTACCAATAATGAAATTTTAATATTTCACTATAGATGTCTCATGTCCAAGAAGTTCCTTCTACTTTAAGGACTCAAATTATTTTGTTTCATGTAAAACACTACACTCTATAGGGTTCCAGGCAACTTTGGAAACACTACTCTAGGATTCCAAGAAACCTTGCAAATATTTTGGGAAATGATGCAACTTTGTTGGTTGGAAGTCAAAAAAAAGCTAGCAGAAAATTCAATTTTCATGTAGAGTGAAATTTTAAAACATATGATTTTTTATTTCTATTTTTTTTTAGGAACAATTTGAATAGTGAGATTGGGATCTCAAACGAAGAAATTGTTTCACTCTTTTAACTTAGACAATAAATTTTCTGTTGTATACGTTAAAATTAACAGTGAAATTTTACTTTGTTAACGTTATCATTCAATTGTTTTGATAAATTTCACATTTTAATATTTTTACCAATAATTATAAAATGAGCTGCCAAATAATAATTCTCACCACAGGAGAGATCTACAAGGAACCTCTTTCTTAAAATATCAAAAACAATCTGCAATACTGTATATTTTTCCATTTTTCTGCAAACTAGCTTAGCCTACAATTAAAATACATTCCTCCTTTCAATCATCTGAGCTACTATAATCATGACTAGATTCCGAAAGTATTGGAACAGCAGCACAACAGAATGACTCCTTTTCCTTGAGGAGAAGACAGCTACCATCTGAATTCCATTTCAGATCACTTATCGTAAACTGTGGTAGCGGAACATTCACACAGTAAGCACCTGATGGGGTCCACATGTACAAGTGAGAGCTTCCGGTGCACAAAACGAGTCGCGTGGACGATGGGTCCCACACTGCTGCTCGGATGGGGTCTTTTTGGACCAAGATGGCAGCGAGCTCAAGAAGTCGCATGTCCCATATCCAGAGAACGGTGGGGATGCTATCGTTGCGAGTGCAAATGTACTGACTATCGTTGCTCCACGACATGAGACCTGCAAACAGGGCCGTTTTGGTCAATTCAATTTCAATCAATCAGTGAGACAACCAGATAGAACATTGATTTGTGAGGATCAGAGAGTTTTGTTATTGCATCCTATAGCCAAAGTCAAGTGATCAACAAACCCAATACAATTTCAATCAAACAGCAATGGAATTGTACAAATTTCACATTTAGAACTTTTGAATGATTTGGTGATAGTTATGATCTAAGAGGTATAGACACTCTAAGAAGGTGGAATGTCCTGTATCAGACACAACACATGTCCGATACCGACACTCATCGAACACTTTCCGACACACGTGACACGCATGTCTACATGTGTCGCATTATATTTTTTAAAATTTTTTAGACCTGGACACAGTTCGATCACTTGGGAGACACACATATCCATCACTTAAACACACATGAAATACAATTAAAAGTTTGAAAAAAATGACTTAGATACAATGATAAAAGAAAAATTAATACATAATGTAGATTTAACCTAATAATTGCTCCTCCTCCATTGAATTTTAGGAATTAATGTTAAGTTGTATTTTTTTTTTAAATCTTTTGATAAAATATTCATATATATGACATAATGAATACATAAAACTATATATTTGTTGGCATCCTTCATGTGCCGTGTTATGCATTTTTTCAAAATTGCCATGTTGATGTGTCCATATTGTATCTGTGTCGTATCACACGTCTGCGTCCATAGTTCGTAGGTTTTGATCATATGAACATTATGTTTTATTCTTGCTTGATTTGACAAAGATCCAACATAACCAACTACATGGTGCTGCAAGCCAAATTAAGTTACTCTACCTTGTTTACAACTAGCTCAGTCAGAGTCTCACCTAAGCTGTGGTAATTTGCTGAGATCCACCCAAACTTTAACTCAATTAAAGGTCTAAAGTACTGGAGGACTATGTAAAAGACCAAGCTAATCAAGCTTAAACAGATATGCTTAACTGATCAGTATCTCGCTTGAGCTCGCTTGTAAAAAAATAAGCCAACCTCAATCTTCAATTTGAAGCTTATTATAATATTTAAGCTTGAGCAACCAACCATTCGACTTGGCTTGGCCAGTTTAAAGGCCACAGGGTCTTGGTTTATAAACGATCAGATCACTAGGTACATCTCTTCAAGAATTTTCTCACTACTATTCCATTATTCATTGATGCAAAAACTTTCAAATGAACTTAATCCATTCCACAGTCAACTTTAGCATCAACCCAGTGTAGTTTCAAAATTAGTTAGTTTCTCAGTAAACATACAATCCATGTTATTGCAACATAGCATTATTAAATATCCTTGCATACGACACATATATATAATATTTTATATATATATATACATATATGGATATTTGATTTTAACTAACACCGTCATTACATTCTCTCTTAACATGTTTACTGATATATAAATCAGAAAAAATATTTGAGAAATATGAAAATGTGTTTTTCTGAATTGTGTTTCTTCCATTGTCCAATTGGATATATAAAATAAAATAAAAAAGAAAGCAGATAAGAAAGCAATAGAAACAAAGGACAAGCTGGTCTCACCAATTCCTTGTTTCGGGTTTGGTTTGTCTGCTGGAGGCTTATGAAAAGGTAAGGTAATGGGCAATTCCATGACATCATACCTAACTTGGATGTGTCCTTCAGAAGGATTTTCTATAGAGGAGAGAGAAATTCCATTAAACGATATATAAAAATAAAAAATAGAAAATGAAAAACTGGAATGTGCTTATCAAAGTCTGAAGACAGCATATGACTGAAAGTTTACTTGACTGACACTTCTGCATAACAAAAACAGTTGTGCAAAAATTAAAAAGTAAAGGTATAATACCAAATTCAAGGAAACTCTACTACCTCATACAATGATTGAACATTAATTGATGACATAAATTATTAACCCATCAAGAAAATTTTCAAACAACTACAAACATTTCACCAACAACATGCGTTCTTGTAGACGCCAATATAAGCAATAATTTCAAATGATACCATGACTACTCTTAGCCAAAAAGTACAACCATTAAATAAAAAATAAAAAAATGATTTGCCTTTTTTTTCTTTTTCTTTTTCTTTTTTTTTTTTTTTTGGCATCACTGCATATAGTGAATTTAAACAAGTTCATTTAAAGTCCCTACATTTTTTGTGTAATCATCAAAACACCACAAGTTCACTCTATAACACAAAGGGTTGTCCTGCTTGAGAAGTCAATTAATGAGTTGAAACTTGTAACAAATGTAACAAAAACACAAAAGTCGAAGCATATAAAGGCTAATTCATTCAGAAGAAATGCATGACAGACATGAGAAGCTGTTAAACCAAATCGAATTCTCAAGCAGAAAGTACAAAGCATAATACATAGAGAAACAGATAGATCAACAACTCTCAGTGACATAAGCAACAATGGAAATTACCAGAATTCCCTTGCATAAAATCATCGCTCAAACATAATTCAGACATATCAAGTTGCAATGGTTCATCTACCTCCTGAGATTCAAAAGACACAACAGAACAATAAATATCATGAAGATATAGGGCCTGTTTGGCATAGCTTTCAGAACTGTATAATGAAAACTGTGAAAATCTTGAGAATATGATGTTTTCGCTGTTTTAGATTTTATTATATCTGGACAACCAAAAACAGATAACAGAAAACATTCTGGTTTTCATGAAAACTGGATCTTTTAAACTCACTTTTCTAAAAGCAGTTTTTGAGAGCAACAAACCAAACAAGTTTTCAGTTTTACTTTTTTAACTCTTGGAAAAAAACCTATTTTTAGAAACTCTGGCAAAACAACCAGAATTATTGTTAGTTTGGTATCATATTAGATATAAATACCGTGAAGACAGCAGCACAACAAGGAGCACGAACAGTAGATAGGTGAATGAATTCAGCAAATACTTTCCAAGTTAAGGGATTTAAAACCCGTAACATCTGGTCATAACTGCCCACTGCCAGAAATTGGCCACAAGGAGACCATGAAACACTTTTTACACCAAGTCCACTTTCATATGCTTGATACTTGAATAGGCACCTCCCATCTGGAGAGTAAATCAGAACCTGCACAAACCATATGACTCAGAAACATTACGTAGGAGCCAATAACTGTTTGCAGCCAAAATGCACCATAAGCCTAATGTACGAGTAATAATTAGAGTACCTGGAATTCCACGGTAGCAGTGAGCCCGGCCAATTTATGCTAATGTACACACAACTTGGTTGGGCACACAGGCATGTGGTATTCCCAAAAGACTAGATAATTTATGCTGATGTACACAACACTTGATGCATAACTACAATATATATTAAGATTGTGTTGGTTGCAGATAGGACAGAAGATGGTATTTTAGTGAATAAATATTGAATTCCTGATCAAACAAAAAGAATATTTGAGTCACTAGGATTATATAAAATTAGTCTCAACAACTTCACAATTATGGCATGGCAAGATATCAAGCACTGAACTAAAGTATACAAAAATGTCTAAAGTTCAAGAAGACAACTCATCCAAGCAGCTTATTGGAAAATTTTAAACAGAATTTAGCAGTAGAAAGGACTTATATTGGCATAAAGCAATGAAAAGCATGAAATAGTGTACCTTATATTCAAGAGGTGAATCCCAAATCACTATAGCACTATCATCTGGTGACCATTCAATATCAGCCAAATCCAATGTGTCAACAGCAAAAACACCCATTATCTCCCATGTGTGACAAGAGAGAAGATTAACATAATCCTTGCAATCACGCCTTGTGCAAATTGCAGCGAATTTCCCATCTTGAGTGAAAGAGACCCCCTTAGAAGCATGCTTTGGCCATTGCACATGTATACAAGCTGTGTTCACCAATGACCAAACTGTTAGCCGCAATTGGAAGTCAGACGTTGTAAGTATGTGGCGGCTGTCAGGGCTCCACCTGGCATAAGCAATACCAGCGGGACCCTCATCTATCTTGCACGTCCACTCAGGCTGTTTCAATGACCATGCCTGTATCATTGGTCTCTTATAGAGACCACAGAGTATGTATTCAGAATCTTGTGCCCACTCAATATAGCTTATCTTATCCAAACACGAGAACAACTGCACAACCTGTATTTGCATGTGTAAATTTAAAATTCACAGCAATCAAACTTGCATGTTACGGATTAACTAGTAGTATGTTCAAGAGAAAGTAGTTACATGATATCAGTAAATGTAAAACACAGTGCAACGTGGCAACGAGAAATGATAGAAAGGACAATTTGGACAATTTTGTCATTGGTTATTTTGTTTAACATTTAATGCTATCTTTAATTCTTTATATAATCATACTTTCTTCATTATGTAGATGGAATCCTGAATTAAAGAGATTGGAAGCCTCTAGTCCCTAATATCTCTACAAAGTATGAACCAAAGAAACTTAAGTCCAGACAGATATAATACCTTTCTTTTAGTTGCTATCCAACATAAATTAACATTCATTGGATTCTATACATATGACCTCACTATATCTTCGATAGTTGGTAGTCTTCATTCAAGATTTTCTCCCCATTTGGTGAGAAAGTAGATCTTAAGGACAGTTGGTTTGATTATTTTGAATCATTTGGATTCCGCTATGTTATGAGAATCATTTTTTACTCAAATCGTATAATCTGAAGACATCAATAAACCAAATTTTAGCACATCCCAGAACTTTGACAAATGCAACAGATTTATGACACTGGCCATGTTTATTTTTCTTTTTTTCTTTTTTTCTTTTTTGTGGATAAATAATGACAGTGGCCATGTTTCAACATTGCGATAACCCTATTTCTGTTCTATTAACTACTTCTTGGTGCTTTTTGGCTATGTCATGGTGTTTAGTCACTGCCAATTTCTCTCCAAGTTGTTTGGAGGATTCAAAAGCTTGTGCCATTTCCTGGTCTGTGTAGAAAATTCTTTAAACCTTAGGGAAAGGCTACTATGTGCACCCTTTTTGGGGTGCATATGGTATGCACCTTATGCAAAAAGTATAACTTTAGTTATACATAACTTTTATGTGCTCATCATAACTTCACCATTCATAACTTGCATCACAAAAAACATAAACTTCCATCACACAAAAATCGTAACTTTTATCACATAGATCATAACTTTTCCCCTTGCGTATGTGTTCATAAAAGGCCAAGAGGGAACTAATTGTGCAAGTGATTTAGAAATTACAATTCCTCTTTAATATAGCACCACTGTGAATCTGTGGTACAACATTTTAGCAAATATAGACTCATTACCTCACAACCACAACTCAATTTCGAATCATTGTAATGTTTATTGCACCGATCTTCAAACTTTCCCTTCACAACTAGAAAATTTTCAAAATTTCCATTTCTGTTCCTCTATATCAAGTGGATATCAACAAATAACATTCAAATCATGCCTAAGCAGTTGAAGAATAAAAAGAAATCGATTACCTTGAGCGACAGAACATCCCGTATCACGAGGCGATAATCGACGGCGACGGCAAGAAACCGAGAATTGGGCGAGAAACAACAAGGACCAGTCTGCTTAAAAGATTCGGTAAACTCCATCAGAGAGGCAAAATTTTCGTGGGAAACAAACAGTCAGTAGGAGACTTCAATTTCACGAAACCAGATCCATGGCTGTGGAACACCAGTCCAGTCGCCGATTGAGAGTGGTCTGACCCACTTCGAAGGTTAGATTTGAGACCTAAACTTCAATTTGGCACACATTGTGATAATTAAGTGGAAAATGACCCAGATTGAACCAGGAGCTTAGATCTGAGAGAGAGAATCGTTGTTGGATCTGTGAAGAAGATGAACAGCACTGTGGAGTTTTAAATACTTACCGCATAACATATATTAGTTTGTATTATACTAGAGAGTTCAAATTTTGAATGGAATATCTGTCTGTTGGGATGGGGGAGATGCGCAGCAGCAGCCACGGTTGTGGTTGTGCGGTTAACAGTATGGTTTTATTTTGATTATTCGAATGTTTTCTGTTTTTTAGAAGGCAAAAATTTAAGTTAACTGAAGATCGGTATTTGTTTCATTTAGATATATTTGTATTTAAAAAATTAAATGGTAAATTTAATTGTAAGTATAAATATGAATATAAATATGGATACTGAAATTCAATTAATTTAAATTTTTGCGTGTATATTTTACTTAATATTTTTTATAAATTAAATAATTTAGATTATATGAAATCTGAAAAAGGTCTCATTAATTGCACAACAATCACTGTTGCACTGTTGCACATGACGCGTAACATTATTGATGCGCGTGATGCGTAACAACCTTCCCAAACTGCTGTTTGTGTGCCTTTTTAACCATTTTCATGGGCAATCCTAATGATGAGGGAAACATATGCTATTTGGGGGTGTTGATTTTTGACCGCACAATTAAAAGAGGAACTTAGTTGGAGAGTATCGGCAGAATATGTTTTGAAAAATTGATTTTGAATAAAAAAGTATCAAAATTGGACTGCTTTGCTAGATACAAAGTCTCCACCTAAATATTTTATTTTGAAAAAATTTAGAAAACCCATAACTCGTGCCAAAGGCCACGTGACTGCCATCACCAAAATTGTCTTGGCTTGGGAACTTAGGTACGAAAGGGGAAGGTCATGAATTGAGCAACCCCGCTCGCCCGATCAAAGATCAGCCTCTACTAATCATGATATAATTTTTTATCAACATTATGTATTTTTATTCTGGTTATTAGGCTAGCTTTACTATGTGATGAGCACAAGCAAGTATAGACTAGTTTACTCGATTTAGAACAATTCAACTCATATTTGTTTGTGAAAATAGTTTGAATTTGCCATTTCAAGCGGGCTTAAAGTTTGCAGATTTGCCATCAAACATAATGGGCTTAAAACATGATTTGCCACTCAACAAAGTGGGCTTAAAACGCACATTCGTTGAATCGTTCTAATTCAAACAGCAAGCCTTCATCCACATGCATTCAAACAGTTTATCAAGTAAACATTTAGTCTCATGGCAAGCATGCTAGTCATGACAACATTCACATTCATGCAAGTATGCTAAGTATTAAAAACTCACCTAGTACTCCAAGCTAAGAAAATATGGGTTAGAAAACTATACATGATTCCTAACTATGCAAAATACCTAATGCAACACATGCAATATGCAATTAATAGGCTCGGCTACTAAGCATGGCATTTGATTTGATTTAAACAACATGCGATTAAACACGTATTCAAAGAATTATTGAAATGGTGATATAGTTTGAATGCTGCGCCGAGCCTCGGTGCATGCAATACGAAATGAATGGATGCAAGCATAAGGTGTGCTAATTGAAACGTGTCCTTAATCTAACCATTAAAAGCGATTAAATAAAATGGAGAAAAATGTGAGACTGAAAGACATACACACACGCACACACACTTATTGCAACATTACGCCCTCGCAAACGAGAGTTCAAATGAATAAGCTAATTAGCTAAGCTAAGCTAATTAAGCTAATTATTACAAAACTTGAATAAATAGCTACACTAATTAACTAATTATTACACCACTTGAAATGAGTAATTAACTAACTATCTAAGCTAATTAATGAATTAACTAGGCTAAGCTAATTAAATATTACACCATCAACTAATTAGCTACAACTAATTAGACTAATTAAATATTACAACACAATTTGCTATACTAATGAAACAATTAACTAACAACGCATTTGATATGGACACCAAGGAAGATTGATGGAAGTTGCATGTCTATCGCCTGAAAACTGCTTTGTCTGCCCCAAACTCCCTCTATTTCCCCTTCAGCCACTGCTTCTGTTTCTGCAAAACTGCACTGCTGGCCACACACCAAGGACCGGCCATGCATTACTGATGGCCGGCCAGGCCGACAGAGGGCCGGCCGTGCGTTGATTTGGTGCAAACTCTGTTTTTGTACTCTGAGGTGAAATCAGTGCAGATAGAGCCTTTTCAAGCTCTGTTTGTCCTTCCTTCTTTCTCTGTCATAGGAAAACATCAAGAGAAGGTTAGAATTGATTCCAAAACCATCAATGAGCGATATGATCACTTGATGATCTCAAATGTCATTTTGGGCCAAAAATCAATAAATGTAATGCAAATGGACCACCCCTCCTTTTTGTCATGGAATGAACTCAAAAAGGGAAGTTGCAACGCTTCAAGGACATCAAAAACACTATGAATTAATGCTTGATGACCCTAGACACAATGAGCCTGGCATAACGCCTGGCCAAGTTCAAGCTATTTAAGCCATTTTCTTTAAGTGTGTTGATCCAAATTTTAAACCAATTGTTTTAGGCCTTGCCATTCATTAGTCCATTTGTCCAAATGTGATGTTAAAGTCCTCTAAACGAGAAGTGTTGTCAAACAAGAGGTCCTCCCAAAACATGAGAAGGAGACTACACTGTTGACGATGAATCTCCAAAGAGATTAAGCCATTAAGTGTAGGTCTCCTTTACATGCATTGAGTAACCTCAGTTGGTTGAAACCATTCTCATAAATGAAAGATATGAAATGATTGGTTTATTAGCAAACTTAGACTCCAAACATGGAAATGAACGAAGAAAGTGCATTAAACAACAAACAAACCAACTTATGAGACCTCAAGTGTATCAAACAAGGCACAAACCAATTGAGAAAGCTTAAACAACCTCAAAATAGTCCTAAATACATAAAAATCAGGGGTGAAACATGCATGAAAAAGGGTTAAAGAGCTAGACAATAAAGATGAGAATTAAGGCAAGTAAACAAGGATGAGGAGGGGTGGCTAACCCCTCCATTTTTTAAGCTTCAAAACATGGTTTTCAGCCTTTTCAAACCTCTGAAAATCAGTATGAATACCAAAGAAAAAGAGTGAAAAGGAGAAGAGTTTGAGTTATGAATAAAGGTGTAGAAAGAGCAAGCTCTCTCTACCCTTTTGGTAACCTTTCAAATCCAACTCCAACACTTCAAACAAACTCAAAACCAACCAAAACAGCAAGAATAATGGAGTAAAGAACATAGATGAAGGCAAGAAAAGAGAAAACAAGCTTATACCTTTCAAGAAGTAAACTTGTTCTTGGAGTTTCAAATTTGGTTTCAATGCATTCTCAAGCTTGAATTACACTTCCTCAAGATTAACCAAGGCTTTTTGATGGTAAGGCAAGGTTGTATATGATGTATATAGGTGGTGTAAGCAAGCTAGGTTAGCTTCAAGGTAACTTACAATGGAAGAAGGAGGAGTGAAGAGCTCTCAAGGTGTATATATCTCTTCTAGAATTTTTTTTTCAACCCTTAAAACAATATTAGAGCTTCAGTTTTATAGAATTCGAGCTGAAAAGGTGATAAATATCTTAAAAAATGGACAGCTAGCGGCCTCCCACCCAGAACAGTGTTTATTGCCATCGAAGGCCTGCCGGCCATTCATAGCCACGGTCGACCATCACTAATGCATGGCCGGGCCTTGATGGCCTCCCTTGTTTTTTTGCTTCAAACTCACCTCAGGGTGAGAAATGGTCCAAAAATGAAACCCAAGGGTTCAAACAAGGTAAATGTTGAAGATGTGAGGTTATTTCGGAAGCCTGACTGATTCCGAATCGCTGCGGATTCACAATTCAACTTTTATCACTGAGTGCATTAAACCAAGCGTCTGAGTCTTACGGGCATTCAAAAATAGGGTTTCTACAGTTGTTCCTCTTTGACAGAGCTCAAAGTCATAAATGACGTAAGTGAATGCCGAAGCCCAGAGACAACCCATTTTGACAAGGCCGTAAGACTTGGACAAGAAAACAAGACATAGATTAAATGGTTATGCCCGCAGGCTGCCTACGTATCTCTTTGTAGGGAATCAAACCAGCGTAGTTCAGGGGCAAGATGCAAATAATATGCATGATGCAAGAACATAACTTATGATCATTCAATGAGGCTGTGCAATGAAACATTTTGAATGCAACTACAATGCAAAGAAAATGCTACAATTAAACAAACTGGAATAAGGTATAGCAATTCCAAACATGGAAAGAAAACCACGCTCCACGTGCGAGAAACACAAGTCAAACCACATCTCATGTAGAAATGATGTAAGAATATTAAAGCTCAACTACGCGACTCGTAGGAAAGGCAAAGGGCAACATAACCATCGAGGACACCCGAGGTCTCAGCCGAGTCCTAACACGTCTCACGCGAGAGGAGAAAATGAATACATCCAAACACGTCTCATGCGAGAGGAGAAAGAGAATACGTCCAAATAAGTCTCACGCGAGAGGAGGAAGAGAATACGTCCAAATGCGTCTCACGCGAGAGGAGAAAGTGAATACATCTAAACACGTCTCACACGAGAGGAGAAAGTGAATACGTCCGAACGCATCTCACGTGAGAGAAGAAACTGAGTACGTCCAAACGCGTCTTACGCAAGAGGAGAAAGTGAGTATGTCCAAACGCGTCTCATGCGAGAGAAGAAAGTGACTACGTCCAAACGTGTCTCAAGCGAGAGGAGAAAGTGAATACGTCCAAACGCGTCTCACGCGAAAGGAGAAAATGAATACGTCTAAACGCGTCTCACACGAGGGGAGAAAGTGAATACGTCCAAATACGTCTCACGCATGAGGAGAAAGTGAATACATCCAAATGCGTCTCACGCGAGAGGAGAAAATGAATACGTCCAAACGCGTCTCATACGAGAGGAGAAAGTGAATATGATACGATTCGAAGGACACGAGTGACTTCACCTAAAATTCCTCTGAATGAACCATACATATAATATCATCTGATAAGAAACGATGAAATAAAGTGAACCGTGATTCAGTCCAAACACATTTGAACAAATACAGTTAAATAAACAAACTTCAAATGAAACAAATGAGCTCACACAATAAGAACAACAACTCTTCTTTTCTCTTTCTTTTTTCTTTTTCACTCTTTTATACATATTTTTGCACTTTTTCTTTGTGTTTTTATTATTATATTTTTCTTTTCTTTTTCTCCTTT